TCTTTTTTCAGCTTTTTGTTCAAAATGTTGTTTATTTCTTTATTTTTTATTTATGAAACTTATCCACATTCAAGTGTTTAAAAAAAGAATGCATGAAGCTAGAATAAAATGTTTTTGTTTACAAGCAGATACCCTCTTCTTTTGATGTTTTGTATGTTCAGATATTCATCTAACAAAATATATACAAATTAATACCTAAATAGGGACATAGTATTATACTTCAAGTATGAAGTTCACTTAAAGAAAACTCACGAGTATACTTGCAGTATAAAACTAATAAACTAGTAGTTTACTGAGATTATACTTCAAAGTGTACTGAAAATGCTACTACAAGTATTTCATTAGTAAGTTCACTTTTAGTATAGTTGCAGTACAAACTAAACATTTTGATGTAAACTAGTTGTGTACTCAAAGTTTACTACTGTTATACTTAAAGTATACTTTAAAAGTATACTTTTATATAATAGAAAGTGGGCCAATTTAGTCCAAGGAGTATTGAATTAGTACACTTACAAGTATACTACTAGTACACTGATATTTGTATACTTACTACATAAAGTTTATTTTAAAATATACTTGAACTTTACTTAAGTATACTTACTAAAATAAACTTGAAGTATACTACTTTTTGGTAAGGGCATTATGAGAGAAAATAGCCTATTTCGATGGGTTTCATTCTTTATCCCTTGCTCTTTTTCTTTTTTGCTGCAGTCGGCATAAATATTTGACCGTTTCCTCAATTTTAGAAAGGCAGTGAATTGGACAAAGTCATTTTGAATTTCACTCAGGCTTACAGGGCCAATGGACTCTGAGTCAGAGACCTAATTCTTTACACACGGAGAGTGACTAACTCTGCTGGGACGCTATGAGACTGGGGTCTGGAGTAGGTCATGTATGATTAATATGTTCATATGTGAGAAATGGAAAAAATCTGAGAGGGAAAAAGGATTCGTCTTCTTTGTAAGGAGCTGAATATAACAGATGAAAGATGCTGAGGCACATATGGACACCTGCAGCTTTCTTGGCCAGCATCAGCACCACTAGTTTTGCGAAACCTCAAAACACTATTTTGAGTATGTATTCTGAAAATAATGAAATATTACCCCTGAAGATGCAGGAACATAAAATAATGATAGAGTAAATATCATAATATTGCTATTTCCCCAGAATATTAGGACTCAAATAATGTAATTGAATGTTTTTCTTAAAATAGTGCTCTTCTTTTTAATTAAAATAAATATTTTTAAATGACTCAATAAGCAACACTGACTTGTAGGAGAGATATGAAAGAAATAGTTGTCCCAAATCCTGCCATTTACTCACCCCCATTTCCTGAAAGCATATGATGTTTTCACTGGTAAAACACAAGGATAAAATGAAAAGATCAGTGATTGTAACTGTCAAACTCCAAAGCTCACATAAAAGTAGGCCATATGATTTGTATGCATTATTCCAAATCCTTTGAGTTCATTCGATTACTTTATGTGAAAAACAGGCTGTAATTTAAGTCATATTTACTCAAAATCGTGTCATACAAATTTGATTTGCCAAACACTGGAAAACATATGAGAAGAAACTAAAAGCAAACCTCAGTGGTTCTCACGTCTATAGTCAAAGCGCAATATTCATATCGAGATTTGAGAACTAGAAAAATGTCCCACACACTGAGAACCAAAGCCTAAAGTCACTTTTCAGTACCTACAGGATTTGTATCAGGGGTTGTGATGCTGCACGACTGACCTTGTGTTTAAAATCAAACACCCAATCATAAGGAACCTAGTAATTAAACCTGAGCAAATGAAGCACGCTCGGGGGCAAGACTCAGGATTTATAGGACGTCAGCTTGCCCTCTTATAGATATGACCCTGATGGGATTAATCCCAGCTCTGCTATAATTATGTCACAGATTTGTCTTGAGTCATGCCTCTGTTCTTTTATTAGCAGCAAATTGTCTCCAACTATCATCAGTATTGGGGAGAGATGTCCTCTAAAGAGAGAAAGAGATTGAGAGGAAAAATTGTGTACACAAACTGTATTTGAAAGTTTTCAATGAAATCCCACTTACTATAAGAAACTACCAGATGCTTCACTGCAATCAAATTATGTTTGAATGGGAAATAACTGATTTTCTCTCAGCCTGAATTTCCTCATTCTGTTGCCTTTATTTGACATTCTCAATGATAAAATACAGATTTTTTGTTTAAAAAACAAAATGAAGCATAAGTAAAAAGACCCAAAAATTAGACCCATACATAACAAAACACAAACAGAGCAGTCAATGAGGATATCTTGAGTTTTATTGAGGATGCAAGTCATTTGTTTATAAAATAGTATTATGTCACTGCTCTATATTTGAATTTCAAAGGTTATCTGGGCTGCATAACACTCATTCAAAATATGCTAAGAGATGATGAAGGTTAAAATTGCACATTTTTGTACAGTCAAATCTCCATATGCATAAATAAAACCAAAGGTTTAATCAAACATTGGGGGGGGGGGGACTTATTGTGTCTCACTCTAGACCAAGAGTGTCTTGGCACTGTATACAGGGTTATAGGGTAAAAAAAAGCAAAATTCAAGCAGTCTTCCAGGTAGTGCATGTAATGTTCTTTTTCACATTCACCCTAATGCAATTAAACATTCTCAAATTATGTCACGAAAGTCCTTTACCCATTTCATTAAATACATTAATGCCCATTTTTTTCAGCTTTATAAGGGAAGTTATTGTATATTTTTACTTACATTTACCCAGGTTTTTATAACTGGACTGTTTGATGCAATAAGTTAATGCACTGAGGAAAGCATTGAGGAGTGTTACATATATCCTGCACTTTCATAAATTATTTGGAATAGTTATTTATGTATTAGTATTATTTTTTTAAACTGTTAAATGTATACAGTTAGACTGCCTTCATTCCATAGCATCTAATACAAATGAACAGCTAAAGCGATGAAATCGCTTAATGAGCCCTGTTGTCTTTGCTGTATTGACAATTTTTCCTATTGAAACATGAATTTTTGGCTAAGGATCTTTTGAAAATAGTTAATAGTCTTCCATTTACGTCACAGTCGTGAAACATGATTTGTTGCTTTCTATTGCTTGCAATGAGATCTGTAATACCTGCAGAAAGCTACCCGTTAGCATTCCCATTCATCTCAATGGCTTGTAGCAAAAACACTGCCTTCTTGATTGCTGGTCCCAGACAGGTGGGAGGGGCATTCCCATTCCAACATTTTATTGGACAAGATGAGTTACTGAAATAGTGAAATTCCATATCCATTTTCCTGAACCTTAAAAGTTTATTGAAAAAGTGTATATCTGCTGAAAGTTAATTTCGTTAACTTTTAAGAGTGCTTGTCCTAAAGCTAACATACATGGACTTAAAAGCCACAAAACTCCAGTTTCGTTGTCATAGCGTTTCATCAAATAATTCAAGAAGATGAGGTCAGAAGATTCCGCTTAAACTGCAACATTTGCTAACCTGGGATCTGAGTCCTGTTCATATCTGTAATGATACACCTCCATTTGATCCCGGCAGGCATCTCTAATGTTATTAAGCCACCTCTTGATGCCTCTTCTGTTCAAGTACAACACCATGAGGAACACAACTCCAATGAGGGCCAACACAATGCCGAGAAGCACATAAGAACCGGCATCCAAGTTTTGGCACTCCATGTCCCTCTTTTCTAGATCCATCACGTGCCTGTTCTTCTTCTTTTCGGGTTGCGCGCATTTCAGGCTATTGGAGTCTGCGCATTGGGAGCTATTCTTCAGCCAATCATAAAACTCCTTCAGTTTGCCACATTTACACTCGAACGGGTTCTGTGATAAGTAAATACGTATTTCCTTGAACTCGTTTAATTTCGCTAAATTGTGACTATCCAAGGTCGCAATGGAATTATTTGTCAGTATTAATGTGGTTAAATTGAGGTTGCCAAACCCAGAAAGAGGAATGACCTCCAAACGGTTTCCAGATAGGTCCAATCTTTGAAGATCGCACAAATTATCCGTGGACAGCGCGAGTGGTAATTGGCTCGCGCCCGAAGTCATTAAGGTGTTACTGAGGTTAAGATTACGTAGCTGTTCCAAGCCATAAAAAGCTCCAGGGGGCACAACCATTAAACGGTTGTGACTCAAATCTAAGGAAAGAAGTCGGGGGAGTCCACAAAACGCACAACTTTCGATCACCTGTATGTTGTTGTCCTGCAGTGACAGCGCGCGCAAGTCCATTTCGGTCCCATTGGCTGAAAACGCTCTCTCGGTTAAAACTGAGATATTGTATCTGTGTAAAGTGAAGTTTTGGATGCTTCTGGGCACTTCGAGAGGTAGTATGATCTCTTCACAACTCACCAATCCGTCATAACGCATGTAGGTATCGTGACATTTATGAGTTTCAGCGGACAAAACAAACAAACACATCAGCCCCACGCTAAAATGATATCGTTTTAAAGTGCGAGATAAAACACGAAGTGGTTTTCTGTTCATTTCCATTTTAAACTGAAGCGAATGTTATTCCAAAGGTTTAATTGCAGCATATGTTCTCTTCATAGTTCGGATTCACTTCGCTTCGAGAAACCGTTTCAGCCATCGAGGAAAGCAGTCCGTGTGGCCAGAGAGTGAGTGTTCAGTCCGGCAGCATTTTCTCTTTCTGGAGCTCCCCTGACGACGCCTACACTAAAATGCGATCAAGTGCTGTCTAGCAGCATCCCCGAGGTGAGCAAAACCTCGCCCACTTCCCTCCTTGAGAGATACACAGAGCCGTGTAGTTTTGCAGTTAAGACAGAGTGGACACTGAATGAACCTGACCAAAGCATTTTAGAAACTTTTAAACGGGACAGCTACATGCTCTGTGGGAAAATAAAGCATGCTGCCTACAAGACTCTTCAGCAGGGGTGTAAAAATAGCAATCATAACATAAGCGGGGTAATGTCTCAAACTTGTACTCCGTTAAGCCAAAGTATCCAACAAAAAATATTTGTCAGAAAGTGTAAGTATCCGCATTTAATTGTACTTAATTATTGAAACGCTTGTATTGAAATGTATAACTAATATTGTTGTCTGATATTGTTTAAGTACTATATTAATATGTGCATAATGTATGTTTGTGTATGTAGAAAGACCGTATACCAGGTTTTGGGACTGCTATTTTCAGTGCACTGATATGTGACACCAATTCTAATAGACCCTATTAGGGATGGATAGAATTAAGACACATCCCTATTATTATTATTATAATAACATCAGTGTTACACAAATAGATAAAAGAATTATACATCCAGAACATTACACGAGTAAACAAAATGGATTAAAATTTATATATATACACGCATTTAATTAATTTGATATTTTTCATTCTATGTACACTGAGGAAAAAAATGGTAACATGTTTATTAATTAACATAGTTAATTAACTAAGTCAAAAATATTATTTGCTGAAACAACCTAAATACATTCATTTATTCCACCAAAACTACTTTATGTGGGTTAAATCATATAGAAATTGCTCTTTAAAGTAACAACTGCAGGTTACTACTTTTTGCAGTGTAGATATACTACATGGAAGGGTGAGTCGGTACTGGACACAATTAGAAGCACTGCTGACTTTGAGCTAACTCTAACCACAGTACTTGCATAAGAATTATTCCACCTAGAAAGAGGATTCAGAGAACATAACATCTAAAATAACAAACTGAAAAATTAATGAAAGTACAAAACAAAAATACAAGCTTCACATTTCTGCTTTTAAATCCTCTTGTCTGTCCATTGTAATATAAGTGCTCAGTGAATAATAAAGTTGTTGCATTATTTAAAAAAAAATTTTTATGCTTAAGATCTGTGACCAATCCTTAAAACTATTAATTAATAAAAACAGTTTACTAATCCCTGCACATGGATGGCTTAATCCTGCTCACAGTTTACTTATACATGCTCATGAACTAACCTGTGTGCACCGTTTACTATGAACTAAGAGTTTGATAATGTAGGGCTAACAATTTTTTCACCTATTAAACATTTAAAACAGAAGCACAATATCAATTCTTGTAGTTTTGTATATCCAAAAGATAATTCCGCATGTATGCTCTCTGATGCCATCTTTGATTTGCTGTATCTGTTCACAGTGTGGCCCCTGCAATCTAATCTATATTGTGAACGCCAGCTGTCTACAGGGTCTAATGTTACTCCATTCTATCTGTCTGTGGTGTACAATCTGTTGGCAGGTAAAGCATTTTTAAACCCATTGGAATTTTTGCTGTCTGTCCTAAAACTGGTCCCTGGCCTGAACAGTATTTTTGGAGAACAGTTTCCGCTGCTGTGGATTGTTGTTTAATAGCAGAGAGAAAATCTCCAGGCACTGTGTTGGATATGACACGATAATTGTACTGGTGCAATCAGACAAATAGACACTGGTAATAAGCGCTATAAACTCTCCCATGCTAAGAGACATAAAAGCAGGATTCATTTTGGTGACAAAGTTGAAGCTTCTGGCTCCTGCAGCAGGATTGTGGTCACAAGAAAAGTCACTTTTCCACCAAAGGTTACTCGAGTTCAAACGAGAGCACTCAGCATTCAGTCATTTTCTCCAGTCAAGTGGTGCATGTAGCTTTTAACGCTTGGAGATAATTCAATTTTGTGGGATTTCATTACAGTTAGCCATCCTCCACCCTTTAGCCACACGAAATGTATTACTGATCACTTTATTTTAAAATCTAACCACTTCAGATTTCAGCCCAATGTCTATCAACACTAGACTGAGAAGCAGCATCGTAATCATCAAAAATGCATGCATCAGAAGGGCTATAGCCTAAGTGATGGCTGTTATCGAGTGATGCACCATGATTATTTTATTCTGTGGGTACCTGACAAAGTGGCCTAATTATACTTGTCAGCCTATAAGCCGGTTTGAGGTGTGCAACAGATATGAGCTATCATGTTCCAAATGGGCAACTTGGCCAAGTATATTACTTTATCCTTGAGGCTGCCCGTCTGGAGTACCACAGTTGGCAAAGTGTCACAATGTCTGTCACTCATGAAGCAGGTTCTTAGCCAGAAAGTAAGAGAGACAGAGGCTTTACAGCTGTGAATAAATGTGTGAATTTTGAATTATATATACAGTGGGTACGGAAAGTATTCAGATCCCCTTAAATTTTTCACTCTTTGTTATATTGCAGCCATTTGCTAAAATCATTTAAGTTAATTTTTTTTCCTCATTAATGTACACACAGCACCCCATATTGACAGAAAAACACAGAATTGTTGACATTTTTGCAGATTTATTAAAAAAGAAAAACTGAAATATCACATGGTCCTAAGTATTCAGACCCTTTGCTCAGTATTTAGTAGAAGCACCCTTTTGATCGAATACAGCCATGAGTCTTTTTGGGAAAGACCCAACAAGTATCTCTGGAGAGACCTAAAAATGGCTGTTCACCAACGTTTACCATCCAACCTGACCGAACTGGAGAGGATCTGCAAGGAGGGATGGCAGAGGATCCCCAAATCCAGGTGTGAACAACTTGTTGCATCTTTCCCAAAAAGACTCATGGCTGTATTAGATCAAAAGGGTGCTTCTACTAAATACTGAGCAAAGGGTCTGAATACTTAGGACCATGTGATATTTCAGTTTTTCTTTTTTAATAAATCTGCAAAAATGTCAACAATTCTGTGTTTTTCTGTCAATATGGGGTGCTGTGTGTACACTAATGAGGAAAAAAAATTTACTTAAATGATTTTAGCAAATGGCTGCAATATAACAAAGAGTGAAAAATTTAAGGGGGTCTGAATAATTTCCGTACCCACTGTATATATATATATATATATATAATCTCTCTCTCTTTTAATATATTTAAAATAAAATTCCGGTGTTTGCAAAGCTGAATTTTCAGCATTACTCCATTCTTCAGTCCATTCTTCAGCCATTACTCCAGTCTTCAGTGTCACATGATCCTTCAGAAATAATTGTAATATGCTGATTTGATGCTCAAGAAACATTTCTAATTATCATCAATATTCAGAATAGTTTTTGCTGTATAATATTTTTTTGGAAAATGTGATGCATTACCATTCAAAAGTTTGGGGATAAATAAGAAAATAAATACTTTTATTCAGTAAGGACACATTACATTGATCAAAAGTGACAGTAAAGATATTTATAATGTTGCAAAATATCAAACAAAAAAGATTAAATAAAGATTCAAATAAATGCTGTTCTTGTAAACTTTTTATTAATCAGAATCCTGGAAAAAATGTATCGCATTTCATAAATGTATTACACAGCAAAAAAAACTAAAAAAAGATTAATATTGAGAAAAATATTAATAATTGAGCACCAATAATAATTAATAAAATTAAGCACCAAATCAGTATATTAAAATGATTTCTGAAGGATCATGTGACACTGGAGTAATGGCTGCTGAAAATTCAGCTTTGCTATCACGGGAATTAATTAAATTGTAAAGTATATTATATAGAAAACAGTTCTTTTAAATTATAATAATATTTCACAACATTACGGTTTACACAGTATTATTTTATTAAATAAATGCAGCTTTGGTGAGCATGGGAGACATTACAAAAACGTTTTCACACATTTCCAACAAAGTTCTCATTACCTTAATGCAAAAAAAATCTAATTTGTGAACTGGGCTTGTTTTCCTCAGATTTACATTTAAGCATTTGAAATGCACATTAGTTTTGCGTAATTGTTTGTGTGTGTCTGTGTGAGTTTGCACCACATGTGCATTGTTTGTAAAGAGCATTAGTTCAGCGTCACTCAGCCATGTGTTTGTTCTATGCCCGTCACTTTAAAGTGTGTGTATTGGCAGCGTCTGACTGGCTTTCTGCTTGCTGGATCAGTGGTAACCGTGTGCTCTGTTTGGGTGAGCTCCTCTGACAGCTCATTTTCCATTCTGCTCACTTCAGATCAACCTGATCTCTCCACAAAATGTCTGCATTAAACCTGACCACACATTTCCGCAAATGTCCAACATCCACCCCAGAGAGTAAATTGTCAGATAAGAGCACTTAACCAAAGCAGTGCATTATCAAACGTCTCTCATGCAACACATTAGAACAATCAAAACCAGCTGACTGTTGAATTATTAATATACAAGAACACAATCTTGCAGCAGTTTCTAACTATTTTATGTTTTGTGGAATTGGTGACTAATTCATATGAACTCAGTGATGGTTATCTTTAGTGTGGAACTTGTGTTTTTTTTTTATTGTACGTTTTCATATTCACGTTATACAAATTCACCACGTCATAAAATAGCATTTTCCTGTGATATCAAGTTGGTATATAGCTCAAATAAAAAGATTGCAAATTGCTAGATTTAAACTCAGAATTGTGAGATACAAATGGGCAATTCTGAGAAGAAAAGTCTGAACTGTGAGAGAAAAAGTTGCAATTTATTTATTTTTTATTCCGTGGTGGAAATAGGCTTCCA